GTCCCAGGCTACTGCTCATTTTCTTCATCGAGTCCCTGCGCAGTTTCCTCTTCAAAAGACACAAACCCTTTCCTCTCACCCTCCCCTGGCATAAATGTGTTTTCAAGCCTTTCCATGTATATTTTTTGGACCTTGTGTTTGTGATGATTACCTGTATTCTGTTGGTTTTCTTCCCTCCCCTCACAGCCAATCCAGCAAGATGGGTTTCCAGGCTTGGCTGCCCCTGCCATTGCCGAAGCAGCTGGTGGTGTTCGGGCTGGGCGACTGGAGCTGTTACTCTCCGGACACGAGCATCACGGCAGACGTGCTGGTGTCCCCGGGCATTGTCCCGCAGCGGGTCGGCACGCTGGAGCCTGCCTGCAGGTCGTGGTGGGAGCTGGCACTGCCGGGGTGTCCTGGAAAAGCTCTGTGGTGCTGCCTGGTTCTGCTGGTGTGGTTCCAAAGCTGCCCAGGCCCGTGGGTCCTCTGCCATGGTGTTTCTCTCTACTGATGCTTTCAGCTTCCTTTTGGCTGCTTTCAGGGCTGGATCTTTTTTGGCTTTGGGGTGTTACCAGGTAGTGGGGGAGCAGGAATTTTTTCCCTGGTCAGTGTCATTTGTGGGCTGAAAACCCATGGTCCTCTGTGCAGGTCTCTGGTGTGGGAAGGTGACTGGAGGACAGATATTTTCATGGCCTCCTTGAAAGAGATGGACAAAGGCAACTCTGTGAAGCTTGTCCTGACTGTCAACGGACAGGTAAAAGAACAGACCTCCTCCTCTCTTTTTGCCCTGGGTCCTAAATGTTGTCACTTCTGAGCCACACAACTTCCTCTTCCATCCTCTCCTTTTCCTTCTCTTTGCTATTCCAAGGCAGAGCTGCCTCACCCAGATCTGTTAATGTACATCTGTGCTGAGCCTAAACCCTCTTGGGTGCTCCAGGCCTATTTCTTAAACACAGCTTTACCAAAACACCTCGTGTGCTGTAGGAGTTGGGCAGCAGAGAGTGGTTCGCTTCCAGTTCTACTCTCTCCTGGGTCTGTGGTACTTACACAGTTGTTTTGCCTTGTGCTGAGCCCTTGGACTTAGCATCTCCCAGTGCCTGGTTATGTTTATTCTGTTGGTGCTGGAGATGAAAGCTGGGCTATTCCCTTGCAGGACATCTGTCCCTTGCAAGACATCTTTTGCTCACCCTTTGTGGATGGAGACCAGCACACTTGGCCTGCCCTTTTATTCTCACTGTCGCTGTTTCTGCCACAGCTGCTCCAAGGTGTCTCCAGCAGTACACCCGCCCACCCCTTCCTCATCCTGGAGACCACCCAGTCACCAGTGCTTCCAGCAGATGATAGGCCACTCGGCCGGGATCTGGAGGATCCTACTGTGGTATGTGTATCCTGGAGCTTTCATTTCATTATTTCCTCTTCTCTTCAGTATCTTCTCCCTCACTCGTAGCTTCTCAGTTGATGTTTAGCTGAAACATTTGCTGCCGCTTAGCGGACACCTGGCTAAGCAAGTTTTGAACCCAAAGATTCACTTGTGCTAAACAAAGTGGTACTCTGCATTTAAATGCCTTTGAAAGGGTTGAATTTAACACACACAGTGGGATGGTTGATCGGCCTGGTTACTCCTAGCCCAGATGGCCTTTTTGCCTTGCGCTAGCTGTGCCTGTTGCAGCCAGCAGTCTGAAAGCGGACCATGGGACATATAGCAGCAGGTAGTTGCATTGCTCAGCACATACTTGGCGGCTGACGTAGTTGGTATGCTGGCTTTTAAGACTCGATGGGAAGATATGCCTGAAAACAGTCACCACGTGGAACTAATCTCTGGCCTAGTAATAGACAACTCACAGTAGCCTCAGGTTTCGCTCATCAGGGCTGATTTCACTGGGACTCTTGTCACAGGTTAAGAGTCAGAGCTCGGAGGTAACTGCTAGAGCATCCAGGCCTGGGAGGAAGGATGTCTGCCTGCCACTGAGGACCCTGGAAGTACCCTGTGCCCTGCAGCCACCATTTGGCAAGGTGGAACCCTGTAAGGCCTGGAGGGAAAGTCCTGTCCACTCCAAGAAGATCAGAAAGGTTTTATTTGAACCCACAGAATCCGAGAGAGAGCTCGATGAAGAAGGTAACTCTGGAAGCTTCCAAGTTTATTTTAAGTGTCTTATCTGAATGATCTCCTGTTGGGCAACAACCTCCCAGTCCCTTTCTCTGCATACCTCCAAGGCAAGATGGGCTTGCCTGTCTTGGCTTGCAAAATACCAAGTACTGCTCCTTAGTACTGAATAAACTGCTTGATGATTTTTTGCCTGTTGCGAAAAGGCCAGAAATAGAACATGAGATACTCTTTGTGCCAACACTATGTACTGTAACATTATATGTCTATCTCTTCCTACGAGTAAAAGTGCTTTATAAATGAAGGCAAGCATTTTTAGCCTTGTTTTACAGAACAGTAAATTGAGGCACAAGGAAGTTAGCTACTACAACATTCTGTAACCTCTCCATTAGTCTGTTTGTTCCCCTGCTAACAGCATACCTCTTGGTCCATAGAAGACATCGTTTTTTATTAAAATATAGAGAATATTAAAAGGAATATATGTATAATTAGTATAATTGTACTGACTTTTCACTAGTGAGAAGGTAGCTGCCAAGAGGTTTGAAAACAAAACCTTTAGCTTCCGAGTATGAATTCCAAGTCAGCTCCAGGGTGTGACCAACTCTGTGTGTAAATGTTTGATAATAACTCAGTGGTCCCCAAGTGAAGTGACTTTTGGGACTTAGCCTGCTTCTCACAAAGGCAAATATAGCTCCATCGGAAGTCGCTTCCACTGTAGGCAGTGTGAGAAGGGGAGAAATGGGCTTCCATCAGAGGGGTAAAATGCAATGGTCACAGCATAATGGCAGTCAAAGGAAGTGTCCATGCTTTTACCCGTCTTCTGCATTTCTTCTGATGAGACTTCCTTCAGGATTCTTGGTCTTGTACCTTGTTGCAGTGAGGTAGTTTTGTGCTGGGAGTTGGAGGAAGGAAGGCCAAAGGGGTTTTAAACCGCAGAGCTGAGCACTTTCCAGGATATGTCTGCTGGCTGCTTGCTTTATGGGGCCACCTCTGTGTTTCCTTTGCAGATCTGGCGGTAGAGGAGTTGCAAGGTGAGGATCTGGTTCCTAGACCCTGGTTTGTCTTTTCAGCCACTTGGTGATGCCATCCATTCCCTTTAATGTCACAGGCTGCTCATGCTTCATCCTTTATCACCCCAGTGATCAAGGATAACAAGTAGGTTGTGTGTATATATTGTTTGGTTCCTCTCCGTGCAGCTGCCCTCCATATAGATGCTTCCAGTACTGTCAGGCTCTCCAATATGCTTCTGTAGCCCCTTTGAGTCACAGCACACCCCTGAGTGCATAGCCCTTGGAAGCAAAAGGTCAAATGTAGAACAGACTTCGATTAAAAAGCTTATTTTAGCTTGCTCAGCCAACTGCAGGGGCCTGGGAGAGGAAAGGAAGAGGAAAAGAGCATTACAAAGAATATCTCTGGAACAGCTCCAGGCTTCCGGTTGCTGTGTCTTAGACACTAACAAGCTTTCCCTGGGTAGCCCTTGCTCACAAGGAGTAACACAGAGGGAGAGCACAACAGGGATATCCTTTCTGGGTATGGGTAATAAACAGGGGCTTCTAAGCCTGCCTAAAGTGACAGCCTGCATGTGTCCTACATCCAGCCAGACGCTTTGTTGGCTCCCTGTGCTTGCTGTATCTCTCCTAATACAGAAGTTATCCCCAAAGCCAACAGAAAATCTTTCTCAGGGAGCTACGTCTCTTGGCACCCTGAAGGAAAGGGACCTGGGGCCTTCTGATTTCTCCCCTCTGAGCCATCAGCTGCCTTGTTCTCCCCAGCAGGGAAGGGAGCTGGGGGTGACCCTGCTCACAGCCCTGTGCTCTCCCCTCCCCAGGCAGTCCCAGCCCTCGGTGGTGCCATGCCATGTGCCTCAGTGACCTGGGGACAGCTGTTGTGATCGGTGGAGAAGGTGTCAATCAGCAGTCCTGCAAGGATGCACTCTGGAAGCTGGAAATAGGTGGGGACCTTAAGGCTATCAAAGGCAATGGGGAAGTGGGACTCGAGGGCAACTCATGCACATGGGAGGGTGTACTCAGGGGTCTGTGCATAGGGAGGGGACAGCAAAGGTTTAACATCTCCTAGCATGTTCATAAGGTTGAGCTGACAGTGTAGGGTACCATGACAGGCTGTGGGAGAACCCTCCAGGAGCTAAGGTGTAAGTTCTGGAAAGAGTTGGGTGAATTTTAAGGGGTAAAAGCAACAGCATGGTTTGCAGTCTGTGTGTAATTATTGGTGAAGAACTGCAAGATACAATTCCAGTGCCTTGCAGCTTTCTGCACCTCACTGATCCTCTCTTCCGCCTTACTATTCCCCACCTAGTTAGTGTTCCCCTTTGTTCCTTACACAGAAATATTTCTGTGTAAGTCTCCTCTAGCCCTGAATCAAAGGAGAGGAGGAGGTGAAGGGAGCAAGAGATGAAGGGAATGAGGTCTTGAGGAAAGATTTTCTGACATATTCTCTAAATCTGAAGATACCGAGAGCATCTTTGAACTCCCCACACCATCTGTCTGGCGTTGCTCCCACAGACAGTGATTTCTGGGTTCCGGTGGGTTTCCAGCTACAAAACGCCATGCCATCATGCTTGCGTGGTCACACAGCAACCTACGACCCAGACACCAAGCGTATCTACATCTTTGGGGGCATAAGGGATGACAAAGACTACAGTGGCATCTACATTCTGGACACGGTTACCTGGAAATGGCTCCCTGTGGCTGTAAGTACTGCAGCTCTCCCAAGACAAGTGCACAGGAGGGGTGGCAGGTCCCACCTGAATGTGGCAGTCGGTATGCCTGTGTCCTCATTCCAGTAGTCTCGGTCCACTGTTGCTGCAGGTTGTCTGAGCTGCTTAGCTGTGACTGACAGATTCAAGGCGGCTGTGTTGAAAGGCCACAGCTTGGCAGAAACCAGGGGCTGGGCCTGCAATGAATGAAGGAAGGTGAAAAAAATAGGTGCGGGAGAGTGCAGTGTCTGAGCAAGGTTGTGGTGGGAGGTACCGTACGAGCAGCAGAGGGGAATGACCTCTCATTTTATACAGTGCTGTTGAGAGCTGCACTGGATCCTGAAGTGAAGAGCTGGTCTTCTCAAACCACAGACTGGTCTGAGCACAGCAGATCTGAGCTCTTTAGTTGCCTGTCATGTCCTTGCAGAGGGCCCTGTCAGAGGGGCACTGGCTGTCTTTTTCCTGGCCAAGCCACAAGATGCCATTCACAGACTAAGCCTGGATGAGATCTTTCTGTTCTCGTCTTCTGAGGAAGCTGGGGTAGGAGGTTGACTTCCTTCTCGCATCAGAGCATTCTGGTGGTGCAGAGTACACAAAGGATGTACTGTCTGCCTGTGTAGCAAAGATCTGGCCAGGGAGCCAATAAAGTGAAAATTGAGACTTGTCAAACTCAGTGCATGACGTGGGCCCCTTTCCTGCGGGTCATGCAGCAAATAAAGCACTTCTCGTAACAAACATACGTTGAACTTTTCCAGGCTAAAGGGAGGATGCCAGTGCTCACCTATCACAGTGCAACTGTCTACCGCAAGGAGCTCTTTGTTTTCGGAGGTACTTTCCACAAAAAGGCATCACTGGCAGTTGGACCGTGCAGTAATGCGCTCTATATCTTCAATCCAGAGCATGAAATTTGGTACCAGCCCATCTCTGAAGGGGAGAAGCCTCTGCCTAGGCTTGGGTGAGAGTGCTCTTATTCCAAAACAGAGCAGGAAACCTCTGCTCAGCTTCCCTCCCACCCCAGTGTCATTTCCTAAATATTAAGTGGTTGTTTTCCACTGTTGCCCCTTAAGATAGGGCTGTGATTTGAGCAACGTGACTCGCAGTACCTGCTGTCACGAATCCTGGTTGGATTCTGTCCTTGGGCTGCCGTGGCTGGGGGTAGAGGCAGGTGTAGACTGAAGCTGTGGCAGCCCAACAGCAGAGGGCAAGGCTGAAATGAGAGTTTTGTTCACTTGCTGGAGGTACTTTGTTCACTTGCTGCTTCTTTGCCCAGGCATTCAGCTACTCTACTGAAGAACAAGCTGTTGATTTTTGGGGGGCGGAGGACTTCTTTCTACCTCAGTGACATGCACATCCTGGATCTGGGTAAGAATGTCTGTGCCAGGTGGATGCCTAGGGAAGGTCTGTTCGAAGGCAGGGACTGGGGAATGAGGCATGCTCAATGGAAAGCTATGGGGTAAAAAAACCCTTTCTGGGGTAAGAGGGGAGGGGGAAAAGCAAGAGTGCTTTTTTGGAAGAAGCTGGGTAACAGAATGCTGGTTGCTGATGTGGCAGAGCATGGAAGTTTTTGTCCAGTTATGAGGCTGAGTTTTTTTGGATGTTTCACCTGCTTTTCCCCTGGCTGTCAGGTTTCATGGAGTACACACCAGTCCCTCTCCTTGCAGGACAGCCTTCTGCACGTTGGTAAGATTGTATTGCACACCCAGGAACTATCTTCTTCCTCTGTCCTTTCTCTGTGCAGCCAGGTTTAAATAGTGCTTGTGATCAGACCCAGTTGCATCTCCCTGTCCCACTAGTCAGAATACAGTGAATGGCCCCTGTGCTGTGGAATCAGAAGTTCCTGTGCTGTCCTAGTCTGTGTATGTAGGGTGGTACAGACCTTTTAGTCTCCCTGGAAATCTGCCTTTCAGGCTAGGGGAAGTTTTCTGCTGTGTGCTAGTGAACTATATTGCGTGCTGTTTGGCCCCCACAGTACCTGGAGTACAGCAAACACACAGAGAGGAAGAAAGGAAGAAACCCTTGTATAGGACTATACTGTTCCTAAAGGGACACTGTTGCCCACTAGAACAATGACCTAAATCGGACCTAAACCTAGCTAGCCTGCTGTCTCACTCCGCAGAGTTTCAAAACATAACAGTTTTGATAGCTCCTTCTAAGATAATGAGGTGCTTTTCAGGTCTGATGATGGCCTGACCTGCAGAGGCAAATAAACAGCTCTTTCAGGGTTACTCAGCGAGTCAGAGCAGAAGAGAAGCAGAAGTTAACTTCCATGCTGCAGTGCAAGCCCCCAGCCTCCTGCTGCAGTCTGCTCACCCCTGCCTGTTGCTGGCTGAGGCAACCCCAGCAGGTTTTGCTGTAATCATCTGTTGGCTTTCCTTTGGTTGCAGTTTTCATGCAGCTCTGGCTGTGTCGGACCAGAAGGTTCTGATCAGTGGTGGCTGCAATGCCAGAGGAGCCCTGCAGGATGCCTTTGTCTTCCACCTGGGTGAGTGACTCTCCTTCTCTCCTGGTTTCCATAGCTGGAGGTAGCTGTTGGGGTGGTTCTGAACACGTAGTCCAGTGTATTTGTTTCATCCCTTGCACTAGGAATGGGTTTGTCAGTACTGACAGCTGCTTTCTACTTCAGATACTCTTTCATGGAGCACTGTGATCCACCACGACCTCTGCTCTGTGCCCCGAGCTGGCCACACACTGCTTGACCTGACTCCTGCCCACCTGATGGATGTGGACAATGAGAACAAAGAGGAGCATGACCTGCACACAGTGTTGGTCTTTGGGGGCTCCAACTGTGCTGGGACCTTTTACAACAGCACAGTCAAGATCCACCTGAACCTAGGATAATGCATAATACTTGGGATGAGCCTGGAACAGCAAGCGCTTTTCACCAGGGATGGCAATAAATGAGTCCAAGCAATGTGGCAGTCTAAGTATCTGTATGTAGGTGAATGCTAGCTTGGTACAGGAGATCTCGGGTGTGTAAAGCCTTTCTGAAGGCTGTGGGTGTTTCCCTCTTTGGGCAGCTGATGTACAGCATTGGATCAGCAGAAATTCCTCCCATATCCCTGGCTTGGTACCTGAGCTTGGTTGCCAAAACATTCAGTGGGATCCAAGCTGAGCCTGTACAGGAACAGAGTCACAGGCTTCTGGGTTTACCTTCTTGCCCTACAGGTTTCTGGGCTGGAATTCCAGGCTGCTTTCGGCTCTGAAGGTGACTCATTTGGGATGAGTGAAATGGGATTTATTCACATAGTGAAAGTACAGGCATGAGTCTGGTTTGGAGGGAATCTGGGGTGGGATTCCCTTGAGAAATAGTCTGCAGCTGAGGACTAGGAACATACCTGGAGCGGTGTCTGAGGATGGGAAAAGGAAGAGAACACCATTGTTTTCAGCATGTGGGAGTGAGCTGGTTGTGTCCTGCTGACTGTGGCATAACCACCTACCTTTGCTCTAGACAGACCTTTATTATAAATTCTGCAAGACTGCTGCTAGATGTAAGGAAGAGGTACAAACCAGCTGTCCCAGGTACTAATTCTCTTGTCACTGCAAGGGGTGGCAGAGTTGCTGGCTCTTGCAAGACCCACGGGACCCAGCAAGGGTTGGGGTTAAGCTGGCTTCTGTCAGAGACTAGCTCTTCCTGGTGATATCCATGGCACTGATGGTTATGCCACAACTCTGAGACAGAAGCGAGTACAAGCAGGCCTGCTAGGTTAGCAGCGCACTGGGTACACTGGTTCCCTGATGCTCTTTCTGTATGTAGGTGATGGAAAACAGCAGTCCCTGAGGGAAGTCCAGAATTGGTTCATAGTTGTTTGTGGCCACATTCCCCAACCCAAAGCCATACAAAGGGGACTTCTGATAACTGTGGATGCTTCTGCTTTAATCTGCTTCATGGAGATATATCAGATTACAAAAAAAACCCATAGAAGTAGCTGCAAGCTTTCCAGCACACCTCCTGTAAGTCATCCAGAGTTCCTCCAGGTCCTCCGTCATTCCCATCCAGATGAAAGTGAGACAATAGCACTAGGGCTTCCTGCTGGCAGTGAAGTCCTACTCAAGCTGTAGCTGTTGCCTTCTTGGACACTCCAGCTTCCTTGATTTAATGAGTAGAAAGGCTTCAAGCTCGCAGTTCTGCAGGAGTATCTGGTTGCCGAGATGGGTGGCTTGCTTTGAATGCCTCCAGCTCCAGGAGAGCTTTGTTTATTCTGGTTATTGTGGGATATGGACCCATGTCCACTTTGAATCTGCAAAAGGAAAAGAATGTGTGAGGTACTCTTGAGTCAGACAGCCAATGCAGCAGTAAGCAGAGGGTAGATCAGTGTGCTGTGTTTGCTCAGTATGGGAGAATCTCACAGGCTGGGTACTCTTGCACGAAGAGAAAAGGTTCATCCTTGTAGGTTTAAAAACAAACGCTAGAGAAAATGTTAGTTCTTCTGTCTTCAATAGGCTTTTACACAGTGTGTTTCAAAGGGTGAGAAGGCACTATGCTTTTCCTGGGAATCATGCAGCCACTACTTGCATAGGTTTAAGGCTTTCGACAAACATAAATTAATCTTTTTCCCCCTGTGTGCAGTGTAAGTATAGGGCAAACAGGGAGAGAGGATGTGGAGTGTGGGCAGCCTTAGCTTTTCTAAGGATATGGGTCAGGTTTCTTCCAGGGGCCTCCGAGAAGAGAGCCCAGCTCCTTATTTCCAAGAGCTGCTAGAAGACACAGTATTTATGACATGGGAAAATTCACGCAGGGAATCTGTAATGGGGTAGGGCAGGCAGGAGGCATGCTTTCCTAACAGGCACAAGGAGCAGCAGAAGGTAAGTTCTGACAGCCCTGCACAAGGAAAAGGTCCCCTTGAAGAGCACCTCAAGCTCAGCCTTTAATTACCTTTCAGCATTGAAAACTTGAGGCACCAAGCACAGATCAGCCATGGAAACCTGCAAATGTAGCAGAGCAAAGGGGTCAGAGTAACTCGGAGCTTGTCGCATCACACTTCACTGCAGTGGCAGGCTTTGACAGCAGGATAGAAATTATTTTATCAGCCAGTACAGAGGAGTTGTCACAACAATCCCATTCTTAAATCCAGCATACACAACAGTACAAGGAAAGGAACTTCATAGCTTCTTCTACTGGTGACTCCTATCAGCCTTTAGGGAGCTTCCTATTTACCAGCTGAACATGGTGACCTCAAGAACAGAGTGCTTCTATGGCAACTGCCTCTGAGCAAATGCATCTGCTGGCAGCTGCAGAGGAATGGGGAGTTTGCATGGCTGGGAGAAGATGTGTAAGTTTTGCTCGTTTGCACTGCAGCAGTTATCAAGCAGCTCCTGTAAATGTCAAGACCTGATATGTGATAGGGCCTTTGCACACAGGCTCGGGGACGTGCAATCTGAAAAGAAGACTCAAGGACAATACAGCTCTCTGCACAGGGGCAGCTGCCGCTACCCCGCTGCCCAGGTCACAAAGCTCTGGGTGCCTTTCGGAGCACACGTTATTCTCCAGCATAAGATCTCATAACCAGCCTTTGCCCACCAAGGGCTCCGGTTCCATAAGGCTCCTACCAGACCGCCCTCTGCACCACAGGTTATCGCAGGAGCTTTCCTTTTTGCCAGGCTTTTATAGGAAGGATCCAGTTACCTGCCAAACAGGACTACTAAATGTAAGAGGCCTGAGTGGCCTCTAGCTTGGCAAGGGTCAGCTTGTATGTGAACTCTGAAATCTGTCCATATCAAATCGGATGAACAGAGCAGAAAAATGCAAAACAACTTGGTTAAAGGTTTCACAGAGCAGAGCTAAGAGCTGAACCTGTTTCTTGAGCCAAGCCTTGCCCCTATGACAGGATTCTTTGAACTCCAATTCTCTTAAAAATGAAATTTATATAATCTGTTTCCACATCCCCTAGTTGCAGCCAGATCCCAGATACAGCTGCAGAATCCAGCCATCAGCAGGTTATAGGCAGGGACAAGCAAACGCCTGTAACTATTTCCAAGTCAGCAACAGCCCAGGTAGGATGCGTGCAGCTGTGTTCTTTATGGTGGAGGCACCGCATGGAACTCCTGGCACAGGATGGGGTTGTGCTGTGCCTCCACAACTAATTTCCTTTCCTATTCTGTGGAATATACTGGGGTTTTCAGTTCTCCAATGGTACACAACACACTCTCGGATACTTACTTCATCCCCCACACAGTAGCGCCCAGCAGTGTGCTGCAGAATCTGTTCCAGGGCTGCCAAGAGAGGGTGGTACACTGGAGTGAGGCATTGGAAACTTATTGAAAGGGACACAGAGACCTTTTAGACTGGGAATTATGAAGAAAGGCATTTTGGCCAGAGCTGATTATGAATAAGGAGCAATTTGGGACAGAAGCTAGAAGGAACAGAAATCCTACAACAGTGTAGTTATAGGAGTCTTTAGGGTCCTTCAGCCTTTTGGGAATCAGAGTAATTTCAGCTCTGCAACTGAAATACTAAGAGGACAATGTAGAGATATGTGAGAGTGGGAGGGGGAAAAATGCAAGGGTTCAGTCAGTTTGTGTCTGTCCAGAAGTGAAGATGGGCCTGTCATTCCAGCACATGTGTGGAAAGGGCTTTGAGGAAACAAAAAGCACTGTATTTCTCCCAGGGAGGTAAAGAAATACTCTGCTACTTGCTAGATTCTGTGGGAGTTTGCCATCAGATGTACTTTGTCCGATGACAAGAGCATATCAATATAGATTGACAGAAATTCAAAGCAAAAGGCACTGGTTTGAGAGCAGCTGGGTGGAAGAGAGAAGTGCTGTCACCCCCCTGCATGAGGGGGTTAAGGTTTGAGGGTGAATCAACTGCTGTGGTGTACAGGATGGCCTCAGGCTTTCCTTCTTCCATGCACAGCAGTGGAAGTGCACTGTGGACAGTATCTTTCCGCTGAGGTTCTGGAGTGCTACCTGCAGGGCAGGACCCCACTACATCAGCCTAAGGAGATCTGATGTTCTCCTTGAAAGTAGGTCCCCAGCAGCACAAAGTTTTGAAGGGCAAGTCAAAGTGCCAATCATTTTGGATGTGGGACGCACCTTGGAAGCCAGACGCAATGCAGTTCTGAGCCCATTCTGTTTTTTTCTCCCCCATTTGTTTTAGGATGCTCAGGTTCTGTGAAAGCAAGTGATGTCCAGGTTAGATTGACCACTACTGGCTGGGTCTTACCCACTACCTCATCCAGTGGAGAAAAGGGGAGATGAGGGGCCAAGCCTGAACCCCCAGCCTGCCAGGTCAGCACTGACCTCACCCTGCTGTACCTCTCACCTGGGACTGCCCTGTAACAGTTGCCACGGTATCCCTTTGCCTCTGCCCTTTGGGCTACTCAGTTGTTCTTCTCCTAAAACATACTAGACCCAGCAATGGAACTGCATGGGTTCAGCTGTTTCTGGAAAGAACCCCAAGGTGCTATAGGATCCTCTTTGTAGGGAATACTGTATTGTTGCCATTGGCAGATCAGGTAGAGGTTAAGCAGAGATTTCACGTGCTAACACACAGTCTTAGGGTCTGCCGCTCCATTGGCTGGCAGCAGTGTAAAGAGACTGAAATTTTCAGAGATACAGACTCCTGGAAATCCATCCTGGTTTTCTCATGAATATGACAAGGCAATACCTGGAGTGGCTGAATGCCGGAAACAATGTGATCCGCGATCATTCTGACTTGGGCTCTCTTCTTTGGATCTTGGGGCAGGAGCCTGGGGGTAGGATGGGTATCCTCTAGGTAATGAATTATAGCTAGCTGTAATGAACAAAAAGATAAGGGGGGGTTATTGGAGAGCCAAGGAAGAGTTCACATCCTGAACACATGGGAAAGGGGAGCTGATCCAAGAGAATACAACAGCTTT